GTGTGGAGAGGGGGCAAGAAATGGGTCATTTTTTTTGGTTGTGTTTTAGCCTCTCAGAACCCCTACCCCATGATATTGTTTCTGTGACTAATTATAGACTCCATCTTAGTCAGTTCTGGGTTCTGCGATCCCAACTTAGTCACTTTCTGTCTATGCATTTAGCTTGTTAAGCCTTTTTAGTAGGTCATCTCAAAATGATTTGACATATTTGAACCCAAATCTTCCTATTTTTGAATCTCTTCTTTTCAGAATTTTTTCCCCTCAAAATTCCAAAAATGTAGAGTGGGAACCCAATCTAATAACCCTATGGAAAATGGAACTCCATCATAGTCTATTCAGTTGTGAAAATGCCACCCCATCCAGCAACACTTCTCTATTTAACAATTATTTGCTGAAGGCGAGGTGAATATCGTTGAATAATCCCCGAGACGAAGTCTTGGGGATTATTCAACGATATTCACTGAACCTGAGGTGAATAATTGTTTTAGTATAATTTCAGAGCTAAACAACAGAGAAATTTCTAAAATCATAATATTTTAGTAACATTTATTAACATTTTATTTTAACATTTTATATATACCGCGTGGAGCGGTTTATATAGCATCATATAAGGAACTGCTCGACCAATCAGATTGCTAGAAACTCTTTGCTCAGCTCCAAAATTATACTAATAGCCTATTACTAGGAAGTATCCCCTTGGAAGAGAACCTACACTTGGGACTGTCTCGTGAATTTGCCCACTGTGCTGTTATGACCAAGTTCTAAATAATTACCAAACCTTTCCAAACCTTGCTGGGTAATACACAGAAGTTGTAGGAAGAAAACAAATGGTAGTCAATTCCAGAAGTTGAATGGTCTAAACAATTACTGAATATTTAAAAATTATTTTTACTGTTTGTGTAGTTCAGACAACTTTCAGTGGAATCAATGACTTTGATTATCCATCATTATCATCACCATCTGTTGGCTTGGCTGGTTTGGAGCTGGTCAGTCTTCTTAAAAGAGTTCCCCTCCCATCAGAGCTGATGGAACAGTTTAATTGTATCCTATTGCTATTGTTTTGTTTTTTGTTGTTGTATTTTAATGTGCCAGAGATACTTATGAATGTTTCCATGAGTCTAGTCTTTTTAAGTCTAATAAATGATGTGACAGAACTTGTTTGTTTTTCTATTAATTTATCAATAGGAGTGAATTAAAATGTTTTCACTTACCAAGGGTTAGGTTAATTGTGTTTTGAACCAGCTGACCCTATTTGGGGAGAGTCACTATCAGAGAACAGTGTCTTACTCAACAATATATTACAGTGATCTATCTAAGGCTTTGAACCAAGACCTTTTGATAACCCTTTAACTCCTAAGATTTCTTTTGTAGCTGCAAGACATTTCCTTGTAAACTAGTAACAAGAATGTGGTGCTAGACTAAGATAACAACTTGTACCTGATTTTCATTACCTGTTTTGTGAACAGTCTATGGATATTCCAGGGAGAAATTACTTGTTAATCACCTCTGGGAGTTAAAGGAATAAAAGTGCAATATAACTAACCACTATGCCATAGTGTATCACAGTTATACTCTGGAAGAATGCAGGAGACTTCAGTGCAAAATCCTTGACTTAAACTTTGTAGACATGCAATGTAATTGTATGATGGGTCTCTTTCCTGAGATTAGAAGAGCATGGCTCACCATTGACAGTAATATTTATGTTTGGAATTATGAGGATGGGTAAGTGTCTTTTGAAATTTGTGGTGCTGGAAATTTTTCCAATTTTAAAATTATTTCCAACCCATGTGTCAAGTCATTTACCATAATCTTGGACAAAAAGAAGTGAAAACTGCACTACCATAATTTTAAAAATTTTGAACCATAGGAAACATTTGAACTACGACAGGTTTGTGATGTTTTTTTGTTTTTTTTTGCTACAAAATGTGACTAGCCTTTGGTTTAACTTGACCAAGGCTGACCAAGTTGTCTGCCATATTTGCATGTTTCCAAGTTTATTTTGCACTATTCAAATTCAAATTAATAACTAGGTGAAGAAGATAATGAGAAGTAGATAACATGCAGGTTTGTATATGTGTGCACAGTGACCAAAGTAGCTGTAGCTTTCGTGTTGGTCACTGTCCCATTTAAGTAAATAGAGGTCCAAGATATAAGTGTGAGGTAATAATAAATTAGGGTATTAAGAGAATAGTTCTTAACATAAATATATAGAATGAATACTAGACTTATTGATATAGTGCGATAATATACTACATTTAGAATTTATAATTAAAAAGGAGAGGAAAAAAATGTAATGTTTGGCTGATCACTCACCAATAGTTCTAAAACATAGTAAACAAACAAAAAGTTTGTCTTAACTCTTCTTTGATTTAAATGTTCTAGTGCACACTTAACCTTTTAGCAGTAGACCATTTAGCCAAATGATTGAGGTGGCATCTTTTGTTGTTGAGTGAAACTTCACTTGAACAAAATGAATCATATGTAAATATGTTCTTTTGTTTCTTTATAGGAGTGACTCTGCTTATTTTGATGGGTTGGATGAAACTATTTTGTGTGCAGGATTAGTGAAAGCTAAGCCAGGTTTGTTTAATCATTACAGCAAAGATTACAGATGTGCATATTTTACTGCAGGTCTGTCTGGCCACATTAACCCATAACACTCTTACATCAATGTTCATATTCTCCATACTGTTCTCAATACATTTCGGAAGGTGCTATAAAGAAGAATTTAAAAATTAAACGAGACTTACCTGTAAGTTGAAGTTTGATTGTAATTCTATCCGTCACCAAGCACTGAGGGATACGTGAGATAGTATTGTGCCTGCGTGAACTCAGTTTTTTAAAGCACATATCATGTGTGCAGTGAAGAAAATCCCTGTCAAACTAGTGGGAGAGCCTGATATGGGAGGGCACGTAATCCCTCAGTGCTTGGTGATGGATAGAATTACGATCAAACTTCAACTTACAGGTAAGTCTCGTTTAATTTTTTAATTCTATTCCGTCACCGCACTGAGGGCTCACGTAAGACTTCAAAGCACACTGCACACATGAATAAAATAGTGAACACCAAAAAACATGATTCATAGCCAAAGCAGTTTGGTAACTTTAATCTTGTAATAAAATGGTAGAAAAACTATCTGCATTGACAACAGGCTTCTTATAAAACTTGGCAAATATGTCAGATGAGCTCCACCCTGCAACTGATAGGATATGCTCTAATGGGAAAGATTTCAAAAATGCCTTAGAGGTTGCAGCAGCCCTAGTGCTGTGTGTCTTAAAAAAGTTTACATCAATCCCAGATTTTTCTGTAACTGTTTTGACCCATCTACTGTGGTGTCCTGAGAAACAGGTTTAAATGGCTTGGAATAACTAACAAACAATTGGTGTGCACCTCCACATAAGGCAGAGGTGTAGTCAAGATAAGCCTTCAAAGAAGTAACAACACAAATGTTGGGGTTACCCATATATGCTACAAACTCAACAACTGTGGGTTTAGATCCTAGCTTAGATAGCTTTAAAGGTTTACAAATGATTAAAGTCACAGAAGTTTCAGAAAAAACGATGTTCTCCAGAGACAAGTAGTGAATCGTTGGCCCCCATTGAGCTGACACCAGTGACATTAGGGTGACCAGTTTTGATATCAGATCTTTAAGAGAGCACTCTGTAGTAGAGATTGACTTAAGATAGTTCATGACCTTGTTCACATCCCATGTTACAGTATATCTTGGGTTTGAGGGTCATGCTTCATAAACTCCTTTTAAGAACCTTTTTACACTCTCTCGTGCCCCAAATGTTATCTGATGGACAGGTTTTGAGACACTGAGAAAATCCCTGTGTCTCATAAGACTGCCGGACAATCTGCAAACAAACAGAGTCATTTTCCTGATTAAGGGGTGAACTTCTTGTTTCATCCCCGACATTTTTAAGGTAGTCCTCTGTGATGGTAGTACTCTTGGAACAACCACCAACATGTGAAGTTTGGGGTACCAACTTTGGGTTGGCCATATTGGGACTATCATGAAGCCTTCGGCAGAGTCCATCTGTATCTTCTGTAGACACCTGGCAATTGAACTGAAAGGGGGAAAACCATAGAAAAACTGTTTACCTCATGTGATAGAGAAAGCATCAATAAATGCTGCCCCTGGATCAGGTTTCTAGGATACATAACATGAGACCTGATGATTTAATCTGGATGCAAAGAGATATATGGAGGGTCCCCCCCAGATTTCTGTAATCATCTGGAATATGTCAGGTCTTATCATCCATTCCTTGTTGTCAGAGAAGACACATGATTCTCAGTCAGCCTCAACATTTTTTATCCCTGGAATATGGGCAGCTGTTAACCATATTTGTTTTTCTATGCCACCACAGCCAAATGCCTTTTGCAATAGTATTACATTCTCTGGAATGTGTACCCCCCCATAGCATTAATATAGTTCACAGTTGTAGAGTTAACCGAGTAGATCTGGACATGGATGCCTTGCTCATTTTTGCAAAGTGCCTGAAGTCCAAAAATGCAGCCATCAGCTCTAAGCAATTGATGTGGTATTTTGCCTCTTCATCTGACCACCTACCCCCTGTTTTTTCACCATCTTTGACTGCCCCCCATCCTTTAGTTGACGCATCAGTATAAAAAATTAGATCAACCTTTGAGGTAGTTAATAATATGGGGTAGTTATCAGTTGGTATGTTATAATCATACCACCACTTAATCTCTGAAACACTTTCATGTGATAATTTCATATGAGCTTTGTAATTGCCTTTATTCTGTCTTAAGGCAGTAGTTTTGTCCATCTCAAGGTGTCTATAAAACAGTGATCCATGTAAGACCCCAGGGAAACTTGATACTCAGTAGCAGTCCTATAAAGCTTGCCAGTTCCTGAATTGGTAGCTCAGTGAGTTCCATCATTTTCTTACAATTTTCATGAATATGCTGGATTTTTTTCCTGTGTTAGGGACACAGTCATATTAACAAATCCCAGAAATATAAGCACTTGCACTGGCTTTAGGACTGACTTTAGGGGGTGTAAAATAAAACCCAATTTTGAGAATAAATCACAAGTATCACTAACATTGGCTTGGCAGTCTTCTATGTTCTCCCCCTGTAAATAAGAGTCATCAATATAGCCAACATTCAAGTGACCCTTCTGGCACAACATAGCATACACTGGCTTAAGAATTTTTGTGAAGAGTCTGGGTGCACAAGCGAGCCCATTTGGGAGGCAGGTGAACTGAAACAATCTACCTCTACAGCAAAACCTCAGATATTTTTTATCTTCAGTGTGAATGGGTACTGAATAGTATGCATCATGCAAATCTACTGAGGCCATATAACAGTTGGGAGTCGTAAGTCTGATTGCTGATTGGAGTGTATCCATCTTAAAATGCTGATACTCCACATGCTTATTCAAATTCTTCAAATTAAGAATTAATCTATGGCCCTCATCTTTCTTGGGGCATACAAATATGGTAGAGATGTATTCACCAGGACAATGTGATGTTTCTGAAATAACACCTTTCATCAACAGTTTGTCAGTTTCCATGGCAATGACCTCCTGCTCTAGTTGTGAAAAGTTATTTTCTTTTGGTGGCATACACTGTTGTGGCTCTCCATTCTCAAAATCAATTTTATAATTTTTCACACTATTAAGAATGAAAAGATCTGAGGTTATGCATTGCCACTGAGAGGCAAATTGTTTCAGGCGGCCACCTACAATGTCAACAGATTGCTCTGACATATTTCTTACCTCAATATCAACGTTTTTAGGACTCTGAGTCACTTTCTTGAAGGTCTGAGGATATTTGTGTTTGTTTTTCCATGAGCCTTAAAAAGGCTTCCTGTAATACTGGTGCCCTGGGCGTCTACAGCCACGAGCATAAAAGTTGTGCCTGTGACAATCAGGCTTGGCTGTTGATCTGCCACTGTGCGTAGACACTTTCTCGCCCACGCGGTTGACCTCAGTCAACTCTTTCACCTGTTTAGGGAAATCATCACCAAATAATTGGTCGGTGATTGCCAGCGAGGAAGAGCAAAGGTGTTTATATTCGTCATGTAGATTAGGTTTAATCAATTCTCTTCGTCTTTGGTTTCGTCTGGACTATTTGCATTAGCAAACAAGGCTAGCGCATCGGTTGACTGTTGTAAAAGGTCGTTTCCCTTTGGAAGCAATGGCATATGATGTAGAAGTGTGTTGATCATAGTAGTCAATGCACACATTCCTTTGAAGAGCAATGTCTGCACCTTTTGCAGTCTTACATCTTGGGATCAAACTGCTGGAGTTATATGATCCCATATTGGTTGATTTACTCAGACTTTTGTCAGTGATTCACAGTTTTCTGGTCTGTGATACTTATTCAATTTTTCGTGGAGTTTCTCTTCGGGCAGCCCCCCTTTGACCATGGCATTAACTACATTCGCCAGCTCTGCATTAATACTTGGACCAAGGAGGCAGTGTGGCCGAGTGGTCAGAGTGTCAGACTCCTAATCCACCACTCCCGGGTTCGAGTCCCACCCCCACCACTGGATTTGTTTCACAGTAGCCCCGAGTTCAGATCCTTGGCCATGCTTGTAAATAGCCAACTGGTTTGCCTCCGGCCGGTTGGGGTTCTTAATGATGTTCTTAATGATGTTATGTTCGATTTAGATGATTTGTTTCATTTGTTTGCAAGGACCACAATGGAAACTACTGGTTCACCAGTAATTGGGTAATCCTATTAAAAGACTTTTTTTTTTTTTTTTTGGACCTGTGTCCTCTTTCTTTAGCTCTCGCTTTAAGCTATTAAGCACTTCAAATTTTCCTTCATTAGAAGGTGTTTGCTGAGGCCCAGCTGAATCAGTCAGCTTTGTCACAGCTTCCTTGAAGCCTATAGTTTTGGTATCTTTCTTCTTTTTCGCAGCAGGCTCCCTGTTGACCTCATGGTTATTCTCGGTCTGAGGAATTTCTTCCTGTTCTACGCTGTCCATGTCTTCCTTCTCAAATTCTGACTGGAGCAGTTTGAAAGACTCTGCAATAGTCTTAGATAAATCCTGAGACATCTGGGCAAATCCCTGTTTTAACAAAGCGGCCAACTCTTGTAGTTCAGTTTTGGCACCAACGGCGCCATCAACAGTTTCGACATTCCCTTCGATATGCTCATTTTGAGAAGTACTGTTTCTCCTTTTTAAGTTGTCTTTCTTGCCCTTAGGCTCAACATTAGTTGAACTTTCAGGCAACAACAGCAACAATCTTTAAAATTGAATCTTGTGCTGGCCTTAGTTCACTTTCAAAGGCAGCAACACACTGAGTTCGCACAGGCACAGTGCTATCTCACGTGAGCCCTCAGTGCGGTGGTGGAATAGAATTTGTTTGACAATCAAGAGCTTCTCTAGCTGGTGATCATCTCATTTCTTCTTTTGGGCTGGGTTGTTCAAAGCTGGGTTAAGATAACCCAGGGTTACTGTAAAATCTGATTTTTAGATCTGAAAGCTTTAAAAGGAAATTCAGTGGAATTCTTTTTTTCTACAACTTGGTGATTGGATGCTCTAAAAAGTGCAAGGAATATTGTCCCAAAAAAGACTTTAGAACAAAGGATTAAAGAAACCCTGATTAGAATTTAACCTTGGGTTAGTGCTAATCAGCCTTTGAAGAACTGAGCCCTGACCTTAATGTGTGATTCAGGGTGTGATATTGTAGGGAGAAAGTAGATGCTAATCACACTAAGGGGTCAAAGAATTAGGAGCCCTGTATACCTCAGGCATCCATACTTCGGTTATCACAATAAGCTTGCCAACTGGTTTTTCTCTCCTCTGAAATTGTTATTTTTTTTCCATTGTGTAATAATATTAGAAATATTGTTACAGAGATTTTTAAAGATGAAGTGAAATACATCTTATGTCTTACAACTCCAATTGATATTGTTCTACTGGCTGTGACATTTACGTCAAAGAGGTTAGGTATGTCCATTTTTTTCCATTGTGTAATTTTATTCGAAATATTGTTGCAGAGATTTTTAAAGATGAAGTGAAATACATCTTATGTCTTACAACTCCAATTGATATTGTTCTACTGGCTGTGACATTTACGTCAAAGAAGTTAGGTATGTCCATTTCGTAACAAGCATTTGATTTTGCCATGTTGTGATCTAAACTTTGAGTTTTGTTACCATTTCATGGATTAAAACAAGCACGTATTTCCTAAGATTACATGAGCTATTTAAAATGCTCTGTTCTTTCAACCTTTTTCAGGAAGTTTAAGCCATGATGAGTTTTCTGAGATGCATCTTCATCCCAATCCAGTGTTTTCTATTCCTTCTGATAATATTTATATGATCTGCATCACTGGAACTCAGTCAGGAAGAATCTTTCTGGGTGGAAAAGATGGCTGTGTTTATGAGATAGCTTATCAGGTTAGTTGACACTTTAATCCTCAAACAAGATTCAATAAGTGATTTTATTACACGACTCGGGCAGTCAGAGG